GCGTATGCGTTTGTGTAGCGAATAAGAATTGGACTGCAATTTGAAAAAACTGTAGACCTACAAATTCTCTCTGTCGTCCGTCCGTCTGTTTTTCCTTAATCTCGAGAACGGTGTTAGATAGATGAAAATCGAGATCAGACGGGAAAATTTAGGGGCGGAGGCTCCGATTAACTGTATACGCACTTTCGGTCTAGAACGGAGTTACGTAGATAACCGACACGATTCTATCGCTAGCAGGGAAAGTATGATGGGCAGGGGCAAGACACTACTAATTTCAGATCGACAGGATATATTTTAAATTAAATAAATTAAGAATATGATTTTAAAAATTGCAGCCAGGCATTGTAACAATGTCACAATAAATAATTGCTCGTTTTCTTTTTTTGTTTTGTTTTATATTAGACTTTGGCCAAAGTGTATTTTTTAAACGAACGAAGAAATAAAAAAGATAAATATTAGAAGAAGAAAAATGTGAGAAATAAATATGCCATTGAAAACAATTAGAACGTCNAGATAACCGACACGATTCTATCGCTAGCAGGGAAAGTATGATGGGCAGGGGCAAGACACTACTAATTTCAGATCGACAGGATATATTTTAAATTAAATAAATTAAAAATATGATTAAAAATTGCAGACGGGCGTTTTTTAACGGTCACAATAAATTTTGTTCGTATTTTTATGTATACTTTTGTTATTACAACCGGAACTATTAGTATAGGCAACTCGATGGAATTTAATATTTTCTTTCACTCGTTATCAATGAAGGTTTTCGGTCTCGGGAACAACGAAAAGTATATTTAATCTCTCCTTTTCCGTTTCTGAATGTGCAGCTTAGATAAGTTTTTGTAGAATTAGTCGGGACTTAATTTCACTCGATATTAAAGCTTTTCACAAGTAGAAAATAACGGATTAAATAATACGCCGATGGCTAATATCTAACCCTCTATAGAAAACTTGAAATCGGCAGTTACAATTAAAAGACGCCTTTGTTACCCGATCCTCGCATCGGGTAACAAAGGCGTCTTTTGCTTTGATTCGTCGTTTCGTATCTGATTTAATGCGAATAAACGGGCAAACTTCCATAAGGCGCCATCCTAAATAGCGCCAACGAATACTCGTACACCGTTCTCTTCCATACGACTTTATTATTAGCAAATTACGTGGCTCTCGAACTCGGATTTGCGTCTACATCTCGTTATTGTATATAATTCGTACAGTTCGAATTACTTCGTTTTAATTCCGCACTCGGCGGCTTAGCGCTAATTTCGGAAGCGATTAGACGGTGACGCTAAACCGAAGTTTGACCTATTTACTCCGGATTGTGTATACTGAATTCGATTGTCGGTCCAGCTATTTCTCTCGGCTTACTTTCATTTCCGGTATAGTACAGCGCTCGAGTTGATGGAATTTTATAGAGTTCGACAACTCTTCGATATACAAACGAGGTTTTAAATTTCGGTCCGTCGGATTTTATCTGGTCCACTTGTCCACGACTTACAAATCTGTTTCGATCGTCTACCCGAATATAAATTGGACAATTTCCATTTCAAACTTCTCTCCCAACGAGATCCATACTCGGACCTAATGAGAAAAATACTCGACGTGCCATTCGGTAATATTGGCAGTTTTCTTTATGATTCCGAAACGAGAATTTAGTTATTTTTTAAATTAATATTGGGGTAAAAGGTTTTTTGATTCTGGGAATTTCTGTTTTGTATGCGATCTTCGAAAACAGTTAAAATTTTAAAATTTCGATCATTTCAAAAACATTTTGAAAACTTTCCCTCTCGATAAAATTCGAAACAATTGAAAAATTCTTTCAGAAAAAAAGGACTACTTTTGTGACATTTCGGACACTACAGATATTAAAGCGATAACGTCGACGTTATCGCTTTAATATATTGTTTTATAAAACAGTAATAAAAATCGAGTGTACGTACAGTACTGTACATATGAACGGACGTAAAGACCGAAGGATTAATCTAAATTCCTTACATTTTGAAAAATATCTCGAGAATTACCAGTAATAAAATTGCCGATTTTCGGACAAACTGCAAAAAAGTATTTCGAGTCCAAAATTAAATTTTTTTTGTTGTTGTTGATTGCTTGTTTTGATTCGTATAAAATTTATATATCTATACTAATATTATAAAGAGGTAATGTTTGTAAGTATGTATGTAAGTTTGTTTGCAGCGGGTTATCTCCGAAACTACTCGTCCGATTTCAAAAATTCTTTCACCAATATTTAGAATGGAACCTCAGGGTGGACATAGGCTGTATATTATTCCAAATATATAATCTAGGTTAAGGCTTTTTTGTCCAACAGATGGCGCTACGAGTTCGACGCCCTAAGTTTGCTTTTCTGCGAGGCATTATGCTTTTCTGTGAAAATGAACTAAAGCGGAACACCTTCTATCTGTCTATATAAATTAAAATGTAATGTTCGTTTGTTCCTACCGATTCCTTTGAAATTTTTACACAACGCTGCATTCGAATACGCACGTGTTTTTATATAATATACGTGTCGAAATTCAACCCCACTGAAGGGAGATGGTTAGGTTTAAGGCTTACGGTAAAGAACTCTGCTTCTATTTATACTATTTTAGATGCGGGTTTTTGCGTTTTTGATTGCGTTTTAATAGGGCACGTCAAGAGAATGTACACTAAGAAATTTTTCGAAAAATTCCCCCCCCCACCGGGGTAAGTGTTATAGATTTATAATAGATACATTTTGAGCCACAACAACGCGTGGCGGGATCTGCTAATAAAGTATAGAGAAGTTCGGAAGTGGCAAAGCCGATGGAACGGATTCTTCGGCGAAATACATTTCGACCAACGTATTTCACGAAAAATTAGATTAAATTTGACTTAATAGTGTTGGGTCGGGGACCGTCAAAAATTAGATTATGCAAGTTTAGGGTAGGGTCCTACCACCGGGCGTGTTTTGTCGGACACACGTCCGATTTAGACAAAAAACAAATAGTAAGGCGCGAGGGTAAGAGTCACTCCGAAGTCCGGGAACGATCCTTTCGGAAGGACGAATGCAAAGTTAAATATAAATGAAAAAGAAGTTTTATAACTAAATTATAAAATCCGATTTAGGAAACTGGCCTATTTCTATCTACAAAACGGTGGGGTACCTAACGGGGGTCCGAACTGAGCGACTCGCAACATACCGGGAAAAGAGTTGTCTTCTCTCTTCGTTCTGTTCACTTTTTCGTTTTTCTCCTTTACTCGGTCCCTCCACTTAGTCCTTCACTGGGTCCGTCGCTCAGCCGCTTTCTCCGTCCTCTAAGTCCGACTCCCCGTTCTCGGCTAAGTTCCTCAGACGGTCGTCTCCCGTCCAGTCAATCAGTAGTCAGTTGGTCCAGTCTGTCGGTTTCGTCATTTCTTTCTGTTTTATTCTTCGTTTTTGACCAATCGCGCTTTAGTTCCGGAGGAAGGCGAAATAATTTGTAAAAAGCACGATTGGTTATCCAGTGGTCCTCCTTCTCTTTCGTCAATGAAGAAGAATATGCGTCCGTGTGACGTAGCAAATCATCGGTCACCCAACACCATCGAAAAAGGGGGAAACGACGGTCATCCCTTTACCTTTTCCTTCGCGTATTGTGAGATTTATAACACGATGGTTCGCGAGCATTAATATTAAATGAAAAAGCCGACGAGGGACTCCGGGTCCTAAATGCATTCTGAAAATAAAACAGTGTTTTTCTAAGTCTAGTTTGTGGTCCCGCGGTGGTGTAACAAATCTAGCGGTAAAGTAAGGCCGACCTTAGTGCTCGCGGGTCATTAAGAAGTCTAGACAAGAAGGGTATCATAGTATTCATTAAATTTATAACAGTTACGAGTAATCCATAATTTTTTTTTTATTTTAATTTGTTTCTCTAAATTATTTTAAATCGATATTACTAAAAATTTAGAAAGGGGGTCCCTAAAATCGGAAAATAGGCGAAATTCCTTTACAACGTTGGTTGATATACAATCAAACTCGGTGTCGCGTTTACACACGCATCTTCCAGATGTAGGTCCAAAGGGCGTCCCGTCTGATAGTTAACAGGTGTTCTTTACACCACCAGACAGAACAAAACAAAAAAGATATAAAATACACAATATATATATATTGTGTATAAAATATATTATAAAATAAAATATAATATAAAAATNATGTAATTATCTTAATCTTCACTATCGTTACTTTTTGCCCACAAATAAAAACCCAGCGAAGCGGGTCCTTGCAGCTATTCGAATTCAAATTCGAAAATTGTTCGAATTTAATTCGAACAATATTCGAATTTGAATTCGAACATAAAATTCGAATATTGGTTCGATTATAGAACGATTGTAAACGTTTCAGAAACGTTGAAAATAGTTCGTTTGACTGGACGTGAACAGGAGACGTTCAGAAATAGAATCGGGACCTGGTCTCTAATTAGTCTGGAAACGCTAGTTCTTGCATTCTGTGAAAACGGGTAAGATTGACTATAATGTAATTATCTTAATCTTCACTATCGTTACTTTTTGCCCACAAATAAAAACCCAGCGAAGCGGGTCCTTGCAGCTATTCGAATTCAAATTCGAAAATTGTTCGAATTTAATTCGAACAATATTCGAATTTGAATTCGAACATAAAATTCGAATATTGGTTCGATTATAGAACGATTGTAAACGTTCCAGAAACGTTGAAAATAGTTCGTTTGACTGGACGTGAACAGGAGACGTTCAGAAATAGAATCGGGACCAGGTCTCTAATTAGTCTGGAAACAGGGGACTTATTTCTTGCATTCTGTGAAAACGGGTAAGATTGGCTAATCTTCACTATCGTTACTTTTTGCCCACAAATAAAAACCCAGCGAAGCGGGTCCTTGCAGCTAGTATATATATATAAAGGATTATTCGGCACTCGTTATATATTGATAACTTTATCTAGGAACACTCGGAAAATCGCGAAATAACAGTACGAATTTCACTTTTAAATCTGATATTTCTTACTTTTTCAGTAGATCCGAAGTCGAGAAATCTTCTTTACGGTAAGTTTATTATAAGCGAAGCGTTAAAAGTGACAGTTTTACATGGTTATAACTCAACCGATCAACTTTTTTTCAGTCACGGTGGCTTCTAGTCTAGCCGTAGCTTGTTTCGTCACCGTCTGCGCGATAATCGGTCTGGCAAATCGTCGACGTCTACCGAAATGCCGGTGAGTATAAACGAATCTCTGGTAGAACGGTTTATTTTCGATCCGCCGATTAATTAATATTTGCATTTACAAGTAAAAACGAGAAAACGGAAAAGTCGGACGCGTTCGACCAGGTGGATCTGGCCGAGAGTTTTCCTCCCCCCGACATACCCGAAGCCCAAGTGCCTAGGCAAAGCACGTTCTTCGTCGACGATAATCCACCCGCTGGCGAAAACGACGTCTGCCAAAGTTAATAATATTTACTCGAGATTTTTGCTTTTTTCCGACAGACGATTCTCCATGGCTTTCGACCCGTTATTTGTATTTACAAATCCGCAATCTGTTTTTAAATTGCATCGTCGACAGCTATTTTTTAAGGCTTCTTGGTAAATTGCGCTTTCGTAAGTTATGAAATAAATTGTAGATTCGTAAAAGAATGTCTTCGCTCTTCTCCAATTTAGTTAATTAAAACCGTGCTGGAAATATACGCGTGTCTTTTTAGTCCGCCCAGACGAAATTTTCAAATAGTCGTAACGTTAATTACGAAAATGTAAATATTAAATTATAATTTTTTAAAATTTGATTCGTTTCCTTCGGTGGCGGCCGTTTCCGGTAGCCCGCGAATACGATCTTAAAACGCACGATTTTCTGGCCATTTCCCGAATATCGCGCCGTTTCTTCGTTCGGTGGTCAGTGCCGGAACTAGTTTTTCTTTCTCTATTACGCCGTTTGTTTCTACAAAAAACATAAATGATAAATCTCGTCAGCGTTTCGACAAATACTTTCGTGCTCAGACGTTTTGTTGGCGAAAAAGACCAATAAACGTGTTAACTGTATATATTATTTAAGTAGGTTTTATCACTTTGATATACTTACGTATCGTTCCGTAGACGGAAACTCATATTTTTAATGCAATACGCATTGCGTACATTATGCCAATTTGGCAATACGATCGACGAAAAATCCAGTACTGTGGCGAGGCATTCCAGTAAGCCGTCGGGCGCATCTTTTTGTTTAATTTTTCTCCGCACTTTATCTAATATTTTATTATTCTCTTCCAAAGAAAACTGCTTTCATTTTTTTCTCGTAAACTTAAAAAGAAATAATCCGTAGAGTAATAGCGTCGAAACGAAACCGTAACTAAGGATTAAAATTATGTCGTCGGTCGAACTAGATATTAAAATGAATGTTGCCAGACGTATTATTCATCGTTTACTAATAATGAATGATCCACGCATTTATAGATCTCGTTATGAAACTGTTCTTTCGTAAGGGACAGAATTTTTATTACGTTAAACTGAAATTTTAATGTACGAACTTCCGAGGTAATCCGGAAGTCATATTTTAAATTCAAAATTTCCCCCCGAAAGGCATTAGAGAGACTGTTGCTAACGGGAAAAGACTCTACTAATTTGAGGCGGAGAGCGTATATTTTAAATTATAAAAATATTAAAACTATGATTAAAAATTGCAGCCAGGCATTGTAGAGATATAACGATAAAATAATTGCTCGTTTTCTTTTTTTGTTTTGTTTTATATTAGACTTTGGCCAAAGTGTATTTTTTAAACGAACGAAGAAATAAAAAAGATAAATATTAGAAGAAGAAAAATGTGAGAAATAAATATGCCATTGAAAACAATTAGAACGTCTGAGAAAATCGCGCAATACGTATTTAGTAATAAGAAAATAAATTAAAAATCGCCGCGGCTCGACCCGATTAGGGGAAATTTAACGAACGGTTCCGAAAAGGAATATCGAAGAGGAAGGAGCGTTCTCCCAAACGAAAAGTGCGACGACTTCGTCTCTTTTACGCAATTCGCCTAAGATCCGGGGTTTGCGATACGGATTCCAAGATATGGTGGCAAAGCGCTAACCGGGCCATTTTAGCCAGCCATTACCGAGGGACGGTTCCGATATATCCTTACGAACCACACTCCCGAAAATTTCCTGGGTTTTTTGAACGTCCAGATTCGATCCGAGGGATCCTCCGGAGTAGTACGCCGACACTTTAACCACTCGGCCTTCCAGCCTCAATTTTATCGGAGTAAAAAACACAATGGGCCCCTATATTTTTCCGATTTCATATATTTCTTCCTCCCTCTCGACGGTTCCGTATACAGTTTAAGGGAAGGAAGGGGTGGCAACAAATGTATCGTTATACGCGACGAACGGAGAGGCCGAGGCACGGTCTTCGAATTTGTTTTTACGGGCCCGCTTACTAGTCGCTTAAGTACTGTAAACTATCGGTTACAAAATATTTACAGAACTTTGAAATTATTATTAAAAGTTTCGTCTCGACGCGAGTAAATTTAAGCCATTTTCAAACAATAACGAGCAGTCTCAAATTAGTAGTGTCTCGCATCCGTACGTCATACTTTTCCTTTAAGAATAGAGTCGTGTCGGTCATCTAACTAACTACTTTCGGAAGGAAATTTCGAATTGAAATAACGCGCCTTCCGGTTTGTACCGGAAGTTCATATATAGCTAATCGTGGCCACCCGTCCCCAATCTTTCCGCATCCGACTAACTCCGTTCTCGCGATTAAGGAAAGACCGACGGACGACGGTGGAAATTTATAGGTCTACAGTTTCTTTAAATTTCGGCCTGGCGAGTTTCCCTTAGCGGATCGCCCGAGCGTTGCCTCGCCTTATCCGCATTTTATTCGTTGTTTACGCTTTATTTGGCCAAATTATTGCTTTATTCGTAATAACGAGGAAAAGTATTATTTTAGGGAATATCGTTATTCGAATTTCCTCCAGCGCGATTAGAAAAGTTTTGGTCCGCCATCGATGGAAGATTATTCCCTTGTAGGGGTATAGAGTAGTTGGGTTTTATTATTAAATTTTAGTTATTTTAAAATATTAATTACATTAAAATTTTCTGTTATTTCGAAACATCGGTAACCGGAGATGGCGCCAACCTTTAGCGCTAGAAAGGACCGACCCTAAGTCCAGCTACTAGCGCCATCTGTCGACTTGTTTTACCACTACGTTAAAATATAATTAACTTAAATCAATCGATTAGTTGTCATTATTGAGTTCATCATTTAACATTTCCATTCTTGAAAACAAATTATTCCAACATTTATATTAAAATTTTAAGGCCCCCGAGTACTTACCGAACTTAAATTTTATCTTAGCATACGATAAAATTAATTAAAAGTTAAATGTATTGATAAAAGTAAAAAGATTAAATTCCGAGAAATGAAACGTCAATCTTTTTATTACGGCAGATTTTCTTTCTCCACTCTTTCCTCTATCGATAATTGTTCTCGTTTCGCAGATTTTTATTTAAACGTTCGCAAATTAAACTACGGGTGCCGAGGAGGTATTCCATTTCTTTATCCAACATTTTCTAGCATTAGTAGGTTCTACGGGGTGGGCGGAGAGTAACTAGGCATTGACAAAGCGTTACAATTTTTGTACTAGTAATAATAATGCAATCGTAATAAAACTTACGCTTGCGTATACATTGTAATTATAAAATTCCATTGATCTACATCGAAGATGTGGACGGCGATCGAGAGAGATCGCACGCGCAGTGGCAAAAAAAAGATGGCCGACAGCTCGTCCGTTCGGAACGAGTGCGGGTTGCTGCCCGCTACGAAGTGTGAAAATCGGAGGTTGTTGGGCAGAAATAATGGCGTACGGCGAAAGGACGTCGTGCCGTAATCCGTCCGGAAAAAACGAAGAATTGTCATTCGAAGCTAACGGCCGTCTCTGCTCGTTGATAGATGGCGCCGGTGCCCACTTTTCATTTTTAACAATCGTGCTAATTCCACGGATTTCCCAATTTCATCGTTAGTGCTCTAAAATTATACGAATTTTTACAGATTTTATCAAGTTGTACAGTATATAACGACTTTTTTTTTTTTTTTTACTCTTCTCCCCGAGGTTACTAAGAGGGCCCGTTTTAGCCAGCCCATTATGGATTCGATGGACAGAGCCGTAGGCTGCCACCTCGATCGCTCGGCATTCCGGCAGCCAATACATAACGACTATTACCGAGTACGAGGTGACCACAATTAAAGTTGTCATATTCAGAGGTTACTGTGGCTCCAATCGACCAGCCGATTGACACCAAAATTTGTGTACTCGCTATTCGAAGGATGCGCGAAAGGATTTTGCAAAGAAAATTTTAGTTTTAAAATTGGCGCTACAAAGCAATACAACAAACTGAATGAAAAGCACTTATTTATTCGTGTGAAGACATACCGTTACGTGCTGTACAGATTATTTAGCGATGCGAGGATTATTCTTCGATGATAATGCGCAGTGTTCCCCGTAATGCTTCGCACGTGCAACGAAATACTGTCCTTTAAGTTTTCTAATGTTGCAACATTGCTTTCATCCTCTAGCGGACAATTTTGAAACTAAAATTTTTCTTCTCAAAATTCTTTCCGTAGTCCTTTGGATAGCGCGTACACAAATTTTGGTGTAACTCGGCTTATTGGTTGTAGCTACGGAGAAAAGGACGATTAAAAATATTATTTTAGATCATAAAGGATTTTTATGATCTAAAATAATATTTTTAATCGTCTATCGTAAAAGAAATTTTGATGTTAGAATTTATTCGTTATTTTGGATAATTTTTGTGTGTGAACCATTCTTAGATAAAGGTGTTCATCTCTGGTATATGTAAGGGCCACATTTCAAAACTTGCATGCGGCCCGTGTCGGTGTAAAAGGGGGGAGGAAGTCGGTAAATCACAATTATTTATTCATATATAATTATAAGTTAGAATGGGTATACTTAGTTTAACTTCTGGAACTGATTTTAAACGCAATACTGCTAGTTTTAAATTAGTTTCGATTGTCTGTTAGCAGGTTTCTTGTTTTAATTCGTACTAAATTCATTGCGGAAAAACTACACACATACATAAGTTGTAGAAAATAGCGTTTGAATTTTTGCCGCACATTCCCTTAAGCTGGGAAATTGATTATATTTCCAGGTGGCCGTCAAAGTCCATAACCGTAAAAAACTGTTATGTTCAAAGGAGTTGCGAGGCTTATATGACCGCACCCACTAATGCCCTTTTGGTAATGTCAGGATCCACTTAGAAATTAAACACATTACAGCGGGTTCACATAATGCGGATTCGTATATCGCGGCGAAAAAATTGCGACCGTATTCGTATAAAGACGAGAGTCTTTATACGAATACGGTTGCAATTTTTTCGCCGCTAAAAGAGACTCGTAAAACGCGGTAAAACGTCATCGCCGATTCGTGTCGCGACAGGATTGGTCGAATCTGGACCAATAGTGGACGAGCAGCCGAACTACTTACACACTACAGAGAGTTTAGGTGGGTAAGTTGGGTTTACTATCGTCTGTAGAGTAAATAAATTAGGTACTGTAAGTCTAATACAGTACTGTAATTTGATACATTTCTTGTGAAAAAAACATTTCTTATTCAACGGTCATAAAAATTATTTCTATTAATGATGTCTCCAAAGTTAAGTTATTTTTCTGCGAAAAATTCGTTATCAGAAAACGCGCGCTCCGCGACGAAAACAAGCTTAAGCAATGGCGTCGTCGAACGGTGCACACTCGGTAAGTAATCCTATAATTTTTTGTTTATAGCATAGTTTATACGGATTATTCCCAAAAAATTATACACGTTTTGGAAATGTTGAGTGGAATTAGTCTAGAATCGATTAATTTTATGGAAGAAAACCTTTCAAACAGCCGCAGTCCGTAAACTGCACACATGCCGGGTTGTGATTGGCTCGTGTATTTGAGGATTCCTACAACGCGAAATTCTTATAAAGCGGAACGTATCTACCGCGTTATAGGGGGGTCGACTGTATTTGGCAGGAAAAATCACATCATCGTACTCTGGCAACATTGCAGCAACTCGGATGTCGACAAAATGGCTAGAGTAGATAAGATTCCCTCCAGTTTGACCTCGATCGACGATATAAAAAATTCATTATCGATGAAAATACCCTCCCATTGGCTTGCCCTGACGTTTACTTCGAAGATCCAGGCGATCGTCTTGTGTTTATGATTTACTGACGGTTCCAAGATGGGTGACGATGAGGGTGTCGTTTTTGTAGTTTACTCGGACTTAGGCCGCAAGCTTCGCAACGCTTGCTTCCGTCTAGGTACGCACTGCTCAATAGTATGGGCGGAAACTTTAGCTATTTATATGAGCTCAATTCACGTTAAGCGTAGGAAGGACAAAAGACGCTACTTACGCTATTGCATTTATTCTGACAGTAGGGTAGCTTTACACGGAATTGCGAAGTTTGATAGCAGCTTAAAACTCGTCCATCTCATACACTTAGACAACAATAGAATAGATTTCCAATGGGTCACGGGTCATGCGGGGGTTCGTGGCAACGAGACCGCTGACCATCTTGCCAAACAAGCTGTAGTTACATTCCTACCTTGTACATCAACAATCTTTATTCTCTGGCAAGCATCACCACTGGTAGGCTCACCTACACTTTCATCCCCAAGGTTGACAATACTGCAATTCTTCGCCACTTTTATCCATTACACCCTGACTCGGCTATTTACGGGACACGGCAGCTTTAAGCAATATTTGCATAGATTTAACTTTGGGGACAATGCGATTGTGATATTCAGTAAAACTAAATACCACTTCACTTAGTTTTTTTGCTGAAATAGGTACAATCACATTAGGGATAGTTTAATGAGAGCTGCTGTTCTTGAAGGGTACAAGTGGCCTTGCAACCCACACAAACTCACTCACACATGTACAATGTTCCATCATCTACTCGCATTCCCTGGAGCAAGTACTCTCAAGAATCCCACTAAGGGTTCTTGACAGCACTTGCTCCAAGGGCATAGATGGCAATTAGCTTACCCTTGCTTTGTTTCAACCGTTGTTATACAGGACGAGTTTTTTATCTTGAGACAATGAAATAATTGGATCTCATTAATTGTCTATACCATTTTCCCAAAATAAAGTTGTAGGGTTTCGAAGGCCAATCAATTGGTGACCTTGGATGTGACCGGTCATTTGAGGGTCAAGTCTCTTTTTTCAATGGGAACACGCATTTTTTGACCCCGGCAATGGAAAAAGTGGGAAAATTTCAAACCGGATATACCTTTGACTTTATGGTTTAGATCAAAGGTCAAGATTATTTTAAACTTAAATTATAAGCTGTTTCTAATGGGAAACCATACTTTTTATTACAGGAATAGGCAGGGAGGTAAAAGTTACATTTACATGGAAAGAGCAGGAAATTTCAATCAACCATGACCTTGAGTATCTCAAATTTGACTTCTGAAGGTCATCTCACGTGATAATTTTAAGTGCGGCTCAACAAATGCATCAAAGTGGAAGGGCATCATGTTGAACATTTGTTATAAAATTTTCCCCAAAACCAACATCTCAAGCAATGGTGAGAAGTAAAGTGACTCACCGAAAATAAGCACCTCAAAAGGGAGCAGAAACTACTACATCACATTGTTACTCCTAGGTAGTGCTAAAAGTTGTGAATGCTTTTAAAGGTCAAAGTAATAACGTCATGAAAAAATGAAACTTTTACATCCCTGCCTATTCCAGTAATAAAAAGTATGGTTTCCCATTAGAAACAGCTTATAATTTAACCTTAAAATAATCTTGACCTTTGACCTAAACCATAAGGTCAAAGGTATATCCGGTTTGAAATTTTCCCACTTTTTCCATTGCCGGGGTCAAAAAATGCGTGTTCCCATTGAAAAAAGAGACTTGACCCTCAAATGACCGGTCACATCCAAGGTCACCAATTGATTGGCCTTCGAAACCCTACAACTTTGTCTATACTTTTTTCCCAAAATAATGAGATCCAATTAAGTTATTTCATTACCTCAAGATAAAAAATTCACCCTGTATAGCTACCTTTTAACTTTAGACTGAAAAAGAGAAATACAAATTTGGTTAGTCCTAGTTGTAAGTTAGACTAGGGACTCTTAGCTTGGTTTCTGGTTAGGTTATGATAGGATGAACCTAACCAGATGACTAAAGCTAACAAACCCTAATCTAATTTAACCTAACCTAAATTATGGTAGGTTAGGTTAGTATGTTAATGCTTGAAAAAAAATAAAAATTTGGGGTCTTGCTCATTTACTTTGTTTTTGGTCTCTGTCAGTCTGTTCGTCTGGTCTAGTTTGTTGTGTGTTCATTTGCTTTTTACACTGCATGTCTGGCTGTTTAGTATTAAGATTTGCAATTGCATTCAGCTTTATTAGTATTAAATAGATATAAGTCTTTCTACTAACAGCAAATTCTACACTTAGCTATTGGTGTTTGCTACACTTGGATTTTCTTTTACACCCTCCGGGGGACTACGGCCTTGCAGCCTAAAAACTGCATGCCAACATCAACATTGAGGGTACTGTAGCCATATGCATGCCGATACAGTAGAGAAAGGTAGGATCCCCTATCTCCTCTCCCTCCTTCTTCGGGCTACGTTTTGACTAATAGTGTTTAAACTTTGTCGAGTTTTTATGTTTGAAAGTGGTTAGGACAGGTCTTTAAAACTACAATAATGCTGTATACTTTTGTTTTATATTTGCACCTTAAACATAGTTCAAACTCATACATATAAATATTTAATGTGCCCTACCTAAACTACAAATACTCTTCTGTTATGACTTGTCATGACAACAAATACAGCCTAAAGCAAAACTGGGGGAAATGGCCAAGCAAGGACCTAGAACTATGACTTGTAGTGCACAAAGATTTTTTAACTATGTAATATAAACAACTTCCAAAATCACCATAAAGCTCCTTTTTAATTAACAAAGTCTTATCGGCATACATATGGTAGAATTAACTTTATATTGCTGGTTTTCTTGACCAACCAGGTATTTTCTTTTAAGATACTTTTTGTGATACATTTGATAAATTAATTTGGATTGAGAAAAGGCACTACCCGAATTCAAACCTTTCCGTTAGTGTCCAACTAAGATTATTATTAATTAACAATAATTTGCTAGATTACTGACATCATAAAGCAAATACTCTTACCTTTGAATAAGCTATGTGAAGCATTAAGTTTTAACCAAAGATTTAAATTTATACTTAAGACAGTTGTTGTAGATTTGAGCCAGCTACTGTTTAAGATTCATCAAACTGAGTTGAGGAAATGGTTAAATTTTGTTTTTAATTCATTATCTTGATTTTAAGGTGAATGTGGCAAATTTAAACAGAACACTTGAGTTAACATGGTATGTTTTATTGACAAATACATCCATTCCAAATCTATATTTATAAATTACGATAACCTTTTTCCATTTTTTATAAATCATCCGACAAGCAGATCGCTAGTAATAAATATTGTATATGTTTAGCACAAAGATGTCACAAAGGCACTTCTGGTCCACGTATGCTTCTAAATAGAATTTTAGAAAGTAAAGAAACTGGAGTAAAGTCGGTTCCTCGTGTTCAATTTGAGTTATTCCTTTGCCACACCCAAACTGGAATTTTATATATTCAACTAGAATATATTTGAAGTATGATACTTGTTAGTGGAAAGACGACAAGTAATCTTGGTTTCTGAATTTCAGTCCACAACGGTCTGGTCGAGTGTGTTGGCGCTGCAGTCTCCCACGGTCAGCCGGAACATTGCCATTTCAGATATGCCATGATAGTGTACAAATGCTGCGGCGATCACCAGGACGTGAAAAATCTGATGACTGTGAAACTACAATTAAAAATTAAATGATTGCAACACAAACAAACACTGACTCGCTGCACCTTCATCTAAATATTTTACAAATAATATGCAAGTCTAGCTAAATTATAAGCTTGATATATTTTGTAGCAAAAGTGCTACCAAAAATTGGGTTTCTTGTTTTTAATACTAAACATACAATCCATTAAAAAAGTAAATGTAGAATTGTAATATTAACATTTAAAATTAACAAACTTGAATCACTTACCCAAATATCACATTTTCCAGGGAAGAAGCGTTCTGGTAATCTAAGTGCATATAATAAAGCACCCAAGATGTAAAGTGATCCCATTAAACATAACCATCCAAATGAAGCGCTGTAGACTGCTTCGAACCAGCCGTTCACAATTAGATAATGCACGGACGGTATTGCTCCGCTCAGACCGAAGCCCATAAATACACCTAAAAACAATGTTGAAGTTACATAAACAATTAAAATAAACACACACACACACACACACACACAGCTCTTACCAATAACATTTAAAATAGCATTACAATTTTTAATCAAAATTCCATTTATGGCAAAGCACAATATATAATTAATATTTTGACAAATGCTTTCTATTTTTAAAATTTCGCTGGATGTAAAAATTTTTTAATAAATAAAAAGACAGTCAATTCCAGCGAAATTTTAAAAATAGAAAATTTCTTGTAATAATTCGCCGCCAGGAGGAGAATAAGGACAATTTACATTTAACAGCGCATTCCTTAAGTAAATATAAGTCCGAGACTCCCGAATGGAAGAAGGATGAAAACTTAAAGACGTTGAAAGATCACCAACTCCAATTTTTTACAACTTTTTTACAAGGTTTTATTGGATTATTTCTGTATTTTAAAGGGCTGTTAAGGCGACTGTGTAGCCTAAAAAGGAAGGTCCGGTCGCTGAAGTTTATCTTGGAATTTTAACGGAAATAAAAGGTGATCGACCAAAGTTTTAACAAAAATTTTTTGGAATTGACTGTCTATTTATTTATTAAAATGCTTTCTAATCTCTATAGATATTTTAATAAAAAAAAACTAAATTGCATAATGAAAATTCCAATTAGTAAAAGTTTTTCACAAGAAAATTGTAAAATTGGTGCTTCTTGTTTAACTATGTTTTTTACAATTTTTACCAAATTACAATGTTAATCTGGTCAACAGAAAATAAGTACAGATGAATATGAGGTGTGTAACTGATTTTTTTATCATTTTGAAGTATGAAAAATAAAATTTATCTTTGGAATTCATAAATTTTGAATCATTGTAAAAAAAAAATGTTCCAATGTTGCTGAAACTTAGATTGCTGCTATAGCTCTAAAATTCAGATATCCTTAACAAATATAGTATTCATTTTAACTCTATTCAGGTGCAAAAGAATCTCTGCGGCATTGAATGTATACACTCGTGCAATGCCGCAGAGATTCTTTTACATATGTTATGATAGTTCCATTGCAATATGAAAATTTTCCAAACAAAAGAGAAAGATGAAAATTAAAAATGAGACCTTCACAAATTGTGGCAATGTGCAATGCAGACATCCTTAAAAATTAACCAATGTCCTGCAATCTGCTAATTGGTAGAGCAACTACTGTAAAGTATAATCTGGAAACTATGCAAAATTCACAAAGTAAATTCCACAAGTGCTTTCTGGCAGGATTGGGGACAGAAGTTTTGGACATGTACTAAATACAAAACTTTTTTTTTGCCAAATTTATGTAATGTTGTTTCTATCTTTTAAGATCAGAGCTTCTTCATGTGTCATGCTATCTTTAAACAACAATTCCTCTCCATTATCTCGATGTGGGAGAGATGGAAGCGTTTACATATTGCCATAGAACTATCATACAACGTGCATTGCTTTTTGAACAAATATTATATTAGATTGGTGTTTTATGTTATGCAACAGTTTATCCACACCACCTATAAAGCCAACAACTAATTACAAACAAACAACACAGAATGTAGTTGAAGAGTATTAGTCACTCACATTCTATTTTAGAACATTAAGTTACCTGTATGATCAAAATTTAACTAGATTCAAACACTACTTTGATTGGATGCAACCAACATTTACTGTAAAATCATTACAGCAAAATAAATGTAGGAATTTTTTAAACACTGTGTGGAAGTAACGCACCATGTTCATTTAGCAATGGTGATCTCTTTTGAATCAGAATAAAGTTGAAGTGAATAATTTCTGTAAGTTTATATAAACATGCTTCAAGAAGTCAGTTGTTTACACAGCTATCAATGATGTGTGATATATCAAACCATTTAACATTTTGAAAACTTGTTTTTCAGCTTACATATTATCATATATTATTGTGTGTACTTACCAGCCCGTAACCATCTGAAGCGTGGTTCGCTGAATTTATCCCAGAGAGAGACTATAATTGCAGAAGTTCCGAGAACAAATACTAGACAGAAATAAAACACCTTAAGCTGATATTGGCAATAGAATCCATAATATAGCCAAGGGACAAATGATCCTATAATTAGAACAGCTATTCCACAATAATCCAATCTGCAAAAATAAATTAATTTGCCACTATGTGAATTTATATTATTTAATTATAAAAAGGAACTTACAAAATTACTTACTTGCTGAATAATTTTCCCATTTTTTCTGAATGGCAATTAACAGTATGAAAAGTAAATGACATTCCCAAACAAACAATAGCACTAATAAAAAATGTAGCAAAAACCATTTTTCCTTGCCAACCAATTTCATTGGATGGATGGGAAAGGAAATAAATAGCAACACCAATGAAGGCAATACAACCTGAAAAATTTTGAAAAATTAAAACCCAACTATAAAGTCAGTAAAGGTAAAAAAAATGTATGTGTTGAAATTTAATACTATAAAGTAATTTGAAATCTTCATATTCTTATAGTTTATCAGTCATTACTCACTAAATCCAATACAAATATCCCCTATTGAATACAATTTTGTTTAATTTGAATTCACAACAGCAGTTGCTGACCAGCAAATTTACATCAATGAATATTTACTTCCTCCAACAAAGATCATTTTTTTTTCTTTTCAATTAGTTGCTTTGACTATGAGCGAATAGGATGGCAAAATTTTCATTCCATATTTACCAAATCCAGAATGAAATCAAATGTATTTGAGGAAACATTTTCTATTAAAATTATAATCAGTAAAAAAAATTAATTAATTAATTAGAATAAAAACAAACAACTAATACTTCTTGATAAGATTACATCATTTAAATAAATAATTTAGAAATTTTTAATTCTTGAGTTAATTCAAAGATGTTTCAGACAGTTGTAAACAATATAAACAGCCTGTTAACAGAAACACGACAAGAATAATTACAGATGAAGTGATAGAAAATGTCTCATTGTGGAATTTTAATAATTTATCAACATAACTCAAGACATAGAATTCAATGTTGTTCAAAAAGGAGAAGGGTTGAGTATTAAAGCTTTAGAAGAAGCTTATTCGCATACTTGTTGTAGAATGAAATACTTTTCCTTCAAGTCAATGCTGTATGGAAAGATACTGATAATTTATGTACTACTGTAAGGAAATTTTACAAATAAAGTATAGACAAGCAATGAAAAATACTTTGGTTTTCTTTTTTCCTTGTAAAACTATTAAATTCAGTACAATGCTTGTTCTGAATCATTAATGTAATGAAAAATTTTTAAAACAATAATATATTCAAAAAATTATTATTTAAGATAAAATATGTAAAATATAATGAGCATACAGCATGAAAAATGAGCAAGTCCTCATTTAATACAGAACAATCATTTAATGCATTTCCCACATTAAATAGAGGATATTGTATATCAATCATCATCATCAAAAGGAATGAAATGTTATCATTGTTTTCATGTTTATAAAATTTAGGTCACATAATTTACTATACAATTCTGTGTTATAATGTAATATGTACAATGATATCTATAATACTATATTTCCTATTGAAATAAATTCTTGAAATTGTTCAGGATACATTAATAATTGTTAACAAAACCAGTTAGTCTCATTGGGAAATTTCAGTACAAGTATGTTGATATGTCAAAGCATATTAAGACAGGTGAATTAAGCAGTCATGAAACATTAATGAAAGTATCAGTGTTTTCTTGATAATACTATAACACAATACAAGTTAGCTGCTTTTGAAGAAAACAAAGATCTGAAAATTCTCATTGGCTTAGATGGGGTGTTATACATTTTTTTGTTTCAGGGAAATATATTAGTAGTATATATGTCATATATTGAGTGAAAAGTTGTCGGTAGAACAAAATTACCTTCTAATTAAAACAAAATAAATATGTTTAAGTCTAGTTAAATTATATATTCTTTACTTGTTTTTCTACATTCACAAATACTTTGTTTTTATTATATTCATAAAATATCATGATAGAAATGTAGAATATCTATTCAAATCTGGGTTTATATATCTTAGTGTGTAATAAATAAATAAACACTGGATGCTTTGGTTTTTCTCAAACAATATGTTCATAATATTGAGAAAAAAAAAATCATTAATTTTATATATACATAAAATCAGACTAACCTGCAACTTATAACCAAATATCACCACATTTTTCTTTGGTTATATTTAGAAATTAACTTATTCTGAAATATGGCCTAGAGATAGGCAAAGTCACCTTCTCAAGTCTAAATGAAAGAATAAAATTTGAACAGAACAAAAGAAATTATGTAAACCTACATAGTGATTAGATAAATCTAAATACTTTGTAAAAAATTTAAAACAGAAGTTTAAGGAAAGTGTAATGTCCATGCACATGAATAGTTAATTGTTTGCTTGTTGCTTTAATTTTCTGTGAAATAAATACTCTGTCAGTTTTCATAATCATAACTTATATTACTGATTATAATAGTAATATTGAGGGACATGGATAAAACCTTAAAAAAGTCATCATCATACCAATGATCGTGGTCCCAAATAAATGTGTAATGGTTAACTGAAGATATTTAACTTATAAAAAGACAAATCTTAGATTATTCTGTTTGTTGAATGAATATCTACATTTTCACAAAAAGAATGCCAAACAAACTGCCATGCCAAATTGTATTAAATAAATTAAATCACTCCTTGATGAAAATTGTAATCATTTCTGATGATTTTAACAATAGTGTTTTTTACCATCAAAAATCTGATATTTTATGACTTATACTTATATCATAACAATTGTATGGTATTTATTGATTTAAGACTCCTTAAGTCATATTAATCTAGACCTGTCTTCATTACTGTTACACTAATTTTATATTTGCATGGCAACACAAACTACAAATGGAATAAAATTAACTTTACGAGTATTAAAATGTAATAATAGTTTTGTCTATTATATCAGAAATTTTTATTTTCTTCTTCCAAACTTATTGTATGAATATTTTCTCCAATATTAGAATTAGAGTTAAATTTCATCATAAAAAAAGTTGAATTAACTTTTTATATTCTGTTGTTAAATATTTCTAATTCAGTTTGAGTGTTACTTGATATCATCACAATATTTTGAAGAGCAAAACAAAAATATTTCTTCTTAAATAAAATTACTTTTATTTAAGGAAAAATATTTTCAGTTTAAATAAAATTAAAAGTAATTTTATTTACAACAGGAAAATATGAGCAAGTGTTAAAAAATACTTTTAAAATTTCTAATTCAGTTTATCTATTTTATGGCTATTGGAATTTTATAGGATGTTCCATAAAATCCTATAGCCATTAAAACAATTCCCATAAACACGTAGTTGTACCATAAGTACCAAAAAATGAATTACAAAATAAATGCTAAAGTATTTTATGGAAACTATTCTTTTTAATTCTGAAATAACAGATTAATTTGAAAAGTGGAAGATTTCAAAATATGGGCAATAATTTTTATCATTAAATAAAAATGCAATTTTTAGTCATGTCCATAACATATCAGTTTTACAAATAAGAGTGTTTTTCATTCATTATCTAAATTTCTTTTAGTAATTTAAAAATTTTGCACACATACCTAAAAGGTGTGTCCATATGTTTCCTGTCTCAGTGTGTATCCTAAAGATTGAACGGAAGCAAGCGCTGAACGAAGGAAGAGGTGGTCTATGACCCCTGTGGAGGAAATCGTTATCTTGTAGCCATCTTGGTAGTGAACTAAAATGGCAAACCTAATAAAAATTTGAAATTGCCAATTTTAATTAAAGTTTGAAAAAATAATTTTTTTTTTATAATCAGAATTTAAAATCAAGTTCATTTATTAACAATACTTTGTATCTAAATTTCTCTACTAGTCAATCTACTAATTATTTGTCAATAACTTAGCATTAAAAGAATTTTAACTTACAAAGTTTCTTCTGTAATATATACAATTTTAATTTGAAACAAACTATTTTCAAAACATGTATTGCATTGTAGGAAGAACTTAAAAAAAAAAATCACATCATTCTGGTAATTTTGAATAAATGATTATCTGTATTAAAACTTAACTGTCACAAAGCTGTGGGGAGAGTCCACTTTAAAAATGGATTCTACAAAGACTGATAGTAAATAAATTAAAAACACGTCAACAAAAAGTTAAATTTTATGCTAATATTAATACAAATATTTAAGGAAACCAAACAATAATTAACAGATAAATCATTTTACACCTTTTTTCAGATCAATCTCAGACTGCAGTAATATTCTAACTGAATGAAGGATACACACAGTGTTCCAAAGATTTTGAAAATTTACATATAAACTTATGTATGATAAATTATAACAGATATCTATACTACTATATAAAGAGAGAACATATTTTTCATTTGTTCCAACTAACTGCAAAAACTACTGAACCAATCGTTACCAAATTTCAACTGTAGCATCTTTATGATCCCCAGAATGTTTACCACTAATCAAACCTACAGATTTTTTATTAATTAAGTAAAACTGCAATGGATTTCTGTCTGTCTTTTGTTTCTCTTCACTACATGGTGACACATGAATTAGAGATAATGCCCTGACAAAGTACTAAGAAAAAAGTGTATTATTGAAGTTTACTGTTATATTTGAAGAACTGATATTAAATTATAATTAGTTAATTAGTAAAATCTTCAAAGCATTTTTAACGCTTCAAAGATTTGTGACATTGTCATGCTAGATGGCAGTATGTTTACATACGGTGGGTTTTTGAATCGTTACGTATTGTGTTTGTGAGGCCTAGCTGTATTTGCGTGAGTGAAGATTATGCCTATTCAAAAATGACAAATCCTTGGCACAAAAAACTCCAAACTGCTTTCATTTATGATACTTTACACTATTCATCATCAACTAATATTGGATCTATAGATAAAGTATGTGGGTATTGCAGTGCTCTGAAGTGGAAGAAAGAATCACATGGGATTTGCTGCTCTTCTGGCAAAGTTAAACTGGATGATGTACTTACCCCCAAACTTTCTCTGTCACTATTAAATGGGACTCATCTTGACACTAAGCATTTTTTAAAGCACAATAGAGCCTTCCAAATGACAAGTTTTGGTTCCACTGAAATACTTGAAAGAAATTTCATACCAACATTCAAAACTGAAGGACAGATATATCATTTAATAGCATATCATTAATCCTGACAAACTACCCATCCAAATGTAAATGCCTACAATTTCCAGTTGGTCTATGCTTTGCAATGACCATTAACAAGTCTCAAGGCCAAAGCCCAAGAGTTGTGGGACTTGACTTGGGATGCAGTTGCTTTTCACACAGCCAACTGTATGTTGCATGCTCACGTGTTAGTAGCTGCAAATCTGTTCATTTGTGCTTCTGATGATAAAACACGAAATGTTGTATATTGGGAAATTATTCAATAAGTTTATTTAGAAAATATTCCACACCTTTAATAGGAATATAATGAATCTGTAACAATTCTCTGCAGATATACTCTTTAGGTAAGTAAATATAATTTCACCAAATATCTCCCATCAACAACGGGTAACACAGCTAGTAATTAATAAAAATGGGAATGCCATGTTTGTCCTATGTTCATTTCAAATGTTATTGCAAGCTAAATTTGGTCAAAATGAAGGTCCAAAAACTTATATGTTAATTATCATTATCCTCAAATAGCTGTATTTTATTCTGTTAGATATTAAAATGATACCAAGCCTTAAGATGATTTTTTAATATTAATAATGTTAAAATATGCACAATGATCCCTGGGTGTCTGCTGTAACATCTGATTTGCTTAATATTAAATTTTTGAAAATTTTTCAGATTGAAACTCAATAAATTTAGTTAGCTTATTAAAAAACACTTAAAACAAGAAGGGAAGTGGTGGCTAAAAGTCCTGCACCAATAATCTGAAAAATCATATTTTTGTTTCAATTCAATGTTTCAGATATAAGAATATTGCATGTATTTTACAAAGACATCTGTGTTTCAGGTATATCTGAAATATAGGTGCACTTGACAAGTGCACCTATATTTCAGATATACTTGATTAATGCAGGTTTATGCAGGTTTATTCTATAACATGTTTGTTTAGACAAACATGTTATAGAATAAACCTGCATTAATTAAAGAATGGTGTGGTTATACACCAATAAGAATTTGAGCAATTTTATATCTGTTTTAGATCAGCACTAACATTATTAATATACATATACAGGATGCATACAATATTGGCAATGCTTGGATATAGTTGATGAATTACAGTAATTTCTCTTCTTACTGCATGACTTAAAGCAAATAATAGAAATTTTGCTATTATTTAATTTCATATATTCTATTTGAATTTGTTTCAAATTCAAAAATTGTAACTGTTCCAAATATTAATTTTGAATTTATTCAAATTTGTATATTATATGCTACATTATTCTAAATTGTTAAATCTACGATTATAAACTGAGAATGGTCATATTTTGACCAAAACATTTCTCTTATTAAATAAAGTTTGTTTATTGATTAGCAGCAATTTATTTATTTACAAAGATATTGCCAAGTTTTATAACTTCTTTTTGACATAACTTACCATTACAAACAATATATTATATTTCTATAAAAAGATTTAAATTTGGCAACAAATCACCATTTATGTAAGAAGTTATAAGTCAAAATGTGGACTTCCAGAAAAACAAATGCAGTTCTCAAAATCCCTTTTGACTTTCTAATGCTTTTTAATCTGTTATGACTTCTGTTGTAAAAATGATGCAGTTTAGTCATAGTAAATCAGTTGATAGTATGTCACTGCCTGTGCAATGTATACTTCTCCTGTTATAATTTGACAATGACTAAATCCAAAAAAATTCTTACCTGTTCAAACCAGGCAAAACATTATTATTTTGTACAAACTTGATTTTAGTAACCTTGAAATTGTTGTGAATTATTTCTATCACAATTTTAGTGACATGTGCATTGTTATAAGAATTGTTGAAACAAGACCTCTGGAAAGAGAAAAAGAAAAAAAGGTCAACCAAGCCAAACATGATGATCAAATAATGGTTCAGCATTCATTAGGATTGAGGTTTAAAACAGCAACAGATTTGAAGCGTGTTGAAGTGTCTACAAGTACCATTCTTAATAGACTTCATGGAAAAGGCCTGACTGGACAAAAAACAAAGAAAATCCTACCTGAATGAACAGCAACATCTCAGGAAACTTGCATGGGAAAATGTACTTTTCAGTAATGAAACAACTGTAAATAATTATTTCCTTTATGAACAGAAATGTTTGTCACCAAATTGGTGAAAGATATAAGATAGGCTGTAACCAACCAGCAATCTCTTGCAGTGATACTGCAAGAAATTGCTGGTTGTTCCTGCATTTTAGCCAGTGGTACTGGCCACAAAAATTGAAGACTCATGTCAAATTATTCAACAATGAGCCTTTAATTGATGATGCTATTGTAGACATTTTGGCATGATGCTATTGTAGATGATGCTATTGTAGACATTGTAGCATATTGTAGACATTTGTCTTTGTAAGACAAGAGTTTTGGAATTTTGTCTTTTGGATGATCATGTTTCTTATTATTGACCATAGACTGTAATGAATTTTCATGAAACGGGAATAAAAGGACTTTGATGACCTGCAGTCACCAGATCTTAACTGTATTGAAAAATTTCTTTAAAATTTATTCAAAAGATCCATGAGCAAAACCCAGCATCTAAAAGTGCTCTGATTAAGGCTATGATGACATGATGCCATACATAAATTACAATTAAAGGGTTACAGAAACTCATTAATAGCATCAAAAGAGATATATATGCTTTGGTATTAAAAAAAATCACAATTACCCAAAAATATTCAGCTGTATTGTGATCTCTTAGCAAGCTATTTCAACTTCTTTACTGGATTTCGGTTTTTCACTACACAATTTTAATTTCGGCTGTAAAATAATACCAATAAAAAAAAATGTGATTTTTTTACCTAATGTCCATGTTTTCTCCTTTTAATGATCAGATGCCTAATGATTATGTTATGTGCAAGATAGTTCAGATCTAAAAAGAAATCTTAAAATATGCATCAAATTATCTTTCCAACAATATACAGTAGAGCGTTGATTATCCGAAAAATCAATTTACATACTCTTTCAAATCAATTTTGTTCATTTCTGGAATTAAAGTTTTATGTAATAATGATTGTCAATAATCTACAGGCCTGCTATCAACCTATCTTCTTATCAATATTAATATTAGGTTTAATTTATTACAGTGCAAATAGAAAAGCATGACTGATGAGTCAGGGCTTCTAATGTACCAAATGCTTTACAATGCCTGCTCACAGTGAAGCATTTAATACATTAGAAATACCATTGAGTGTTTAAATGCAACTCAAAATAGATTTTTAAATTTGCATGACAATCAAGCAAGCTAATTTAGCAGTATTAAAAACAAAAATTCAAGCAAAACAAAGCAAAGTCAACGACTTCTTTCAAAAAAAAAGAAACTATAAGTACAGTATTCATGTAAAAAATATGTGATAAACACTAGTCAAATTAATAACAAATATTTTTACTTTGAATTCAAAGTTTCATCAGCATATTGTAGAGTGCAATGAAAGACTATAATGTTTTTAAGAACTAGACAATATTTGTTATTTTTTTATCATCATTCACATGATACATTTCTATCCTTAATTCTATCTTAATTCAATTGTAAAAAAAGATTAAAATACCTTAAATAAAGTAAAAATATTCATCTTTTTATTCTTTTTCTATTAAGTGTGATTGGTTATCCAAATTTATCCCACCCAAATTAATTTGGATAATAGATGCTCTACTGCATTATATGTATCTAGACCCTGAACACATACCTTGTTTAAGTTAAGTTGGAAAAAAATATTTGATTTTCAATATACTGGTGCAGGACTTTGGCCACCACTGTATATGGATCAGATGAGAACTAAACCTGCATCTTCAATAACTTGAAAATACTCCAAATTATTTACATAAAAGTTTACACTTGAAGTATATAATTTTACAATTTATAATAAACAAATTAATATTTTAAAAAATCATAATTAAGCATTAAATTTCATTATCACAGTTTAACGTATTATCTCTAAAAATGAAATATACCAACTTATATTTTAAACAAACTTACTTTCCATGCTTCTTCCCAAACTTTCCAAACTAGCTGTTCAGCTTGTTCTGCTTCTTCTAACACTCTTCGGACAAGATGTTCTGCCTGTTCTGCAGCTCTCGATGGAAAAGATATATCTACATCATCTACATCTCCTTCAAAATCTGTTGTATCATCAGATGTTTCCTGAAATTAACAACATTTTGGAACAAATATTCAAATAAAAATTGTAATATATTTATAAAGTTTTACAACAAAAACTTTAATTAATTTAGATATAGAAAACAGTGTTAAACATACTTCTAATCAGTATATAACATTAGTTTGATAAAATCCCATTTCAAAATGAGGAAAAATAAATAAATAAATAATATCATCATTAAAATTCACTTCTCCAATTATCTAGGTTAATCATTTCCTGATTTATTGAAGATGTTTAAAATGTTTTCTTTAAATTTCAAAGTAATTGTTGAGGATAAAAGTTTCTTCTATAATTTATACCTGGACAACAAGTGAAAAGCTTGAAAGTACTGTACTTGAGAATTAAAGAAAGTATTAAATGAAGGTCTCCAATAAAGTGGAAAATAAAAAAAGAATAATAATTGCATAATAATCATCAAGATATAAAAAAATCTTTTTAATATATATATAATTTTATAAATTTTAAAACAATTTTATTGAGAACTATTATATTTTAGGAATTCAAGTTAACCAATAGATGGCATTTGTTCAAAATATGCATCATCATCTTGTTTTGTCACATGCATTACTTCCTGTAAATGAGTTATGCAATTGCAATATGGATAAGTATTTATCACAGTCAATGTAATGTTAAGCAGAAACAACATTTCCTAATAAATTATCTCTACTTTTCACTCTTAACAAAAATGAAAATGAAAAACAGGAAAAGATAAATATATCAATAACAATATTCTAAAAAGAATCGATGGAGTCAGATAATCTATTTTTTTACCGTACTGTACTATTCTTTAGTACACAGAAAACTACTAGTTTTCCATTCGTTTCTGACTTTTGGAGGCTTAATAAGTCCCGAGTCCGTAGACTGGTATAAAAAATTAAAAAAGGTAAACAGGTTAACAAGGAAAATATAATTTTATTTTTATATAAATATATACTTCACCCCAAATGCATTTCGCCTGTCAAGGCCTCTTCAGTAGGGTTTCTGATGACTAGAGTGTACAATAGGAACAGCAGAAGGTATCTCAGACGACACATTTTTTTCCGTCGTAGACACAGAAGAAGACACATCTTTCTCACTGACACCATCGCGTTTACAATCTTTAAGAAACACAAACTCTTCCCAGCATTCCG